AGGCCATCGCTAGTAGGTTGGAGGCCATCGCTAGCCGTCGCTAGCAGGTTGGAGGCCATCTCTATAAGGTTGGAGGATGTTGGAGGCCATTGCTATTAGGTTGGAGGCCATCGCTATCAGACTCAAATGACTGACTGGTGACATTTGGTGACCCCAACGCCATTCGCAGTAGGAATGATCAGGCAAAAACTTGGCTGAATCCGACTAGGTCGGAGTGTCAGCGAGTTGACCGGCGAATGATTTGATCACGTGAGGCCCGACGAAAGGTGGAAGCACCGGAGGTGCCTGGAAGAGCAGCTTTGCATGGATAAAATAAAAGCCGCCCAGCAAAATGCAAGTCAATCGAAGTCCTGGTTAGAAAGTAAGCAATCACCACGTAAATACAAGGACCTGCTTGTCTTGTGCGCAGACGTCAAACCACCAAGACTCATGACTTCAATGACCAGGGCGTCCCGATTTGCACAGGTATCCAAGCCAGCACCAGAGAAGAAGCAGCCCTTCGACCTCAGGGATTGACGGTGTGATTTATTCTCATTCCGGCAAGCTCACCGGGCGGGTTTTCGCACCGCAGCGGACGGAATGAGGGGGGACACCCTCCCGTGAAGAAGACCCGAAACCTTTTTGAATGTGTATTTGACTTGGACATGGATGTCGCAACCATCAAAGACGGGTAGAATTGTTTTGGCTGCTCGGTTTGCTGCAAGTTCACCTAGGAAGACGCTTGCTGCCTTCATGAAAGGTCAGTGGCTCGGGTCCATCGCGGTGAACTTCGGGGTGATATTTATCTTGTAATGGTCAATTGCTTGTGGCACAGAGCCTTCGGAATAGTAGGTCAGACGGTCAGACAGCTAATCAACTGTGCCAGCTGCACGCTTGCATACAGGGCAGGCAATCACAGAGACATGTGCAGATAATCTCGCTTTGGCTTGGCAGACAGGCAGCGGATCTGCTTCTTCACAGGCCCCTTGTGCAGGGGAGGCCGGGGGTTCGTAGTCTTTTTCGAGTGCGAACTTTGCGCAGAAAGTGGAAATGCTGAATCAGCAAACATCCAAAGACTGATCCAACAATGGGAGTGACCAACAATGGGAGTGACTTGCGTCTTTGGTTCCAACAACGGGAGTGACCAAATGGGGATGGGTCAATCCCTGGAGCTTCAACAACATCCTTCCACGTAGGTCAACCAAGGTATCCTGGTTGTGACCCACAGCCAAATGTTTACAGTTAGTGGACAGCACTATGGGGCACATGGCAATGGCTGACTCGGCCAGGCATGGATTTGAGTTTGTGCAGGAAGCCCGAGTTCCAAGTAGGACCTCATCACTGTTCATTGATGAGCGCAAGCCAGTGCAAAGGGCGGACGAACGCCGAAGATGTGGGGGCTAGTTTGCTGATGGCAGGTGCCAAAGGTGAGAGTGAAGCGGGAGAGAAGCTGAGGGCGGCCAGGCCCCCTCCCGACTGGTTTGCCTGGAGTCATTGGCGCACGATCACGTCATAGGGCCTAGAAGGTGCTCAAGTTGTCTTAAAGTGCTCTAAGCAGCTTGTAGACATGCAAACCTGGAGGAAAGCCTCGCAGGCCGCTACATCTTGGCTCAGATCTTTGCAACAGGAACGTTTAGCTTCCTATACCAATTGGGCCGCGAGCATGCGAGGCCAGGGTTTGTCAAATGCTTGCATGGTGTGGTGGTTGCGTTCATTGTGTCAGAAATTTGTGCGAGAGGGGCCTCAGTCAGGTCAGGGTTGTTGGAGGTGATACTGATACTGTTGATGTGATGTGACTATACAATCTAAAGTTGCGCCAAGCACATGAGAATATACAAATCGGGTGAATGCGTTCTTTCGAGGAATCTGGGCCGCGCTGGCGCTTCTGGGCAGGGCCACCTCATTTGAGGTCCACGAGGCCTTGCAGAAGGATGTACCTCAGCATCGGATGTGAGGTCCCAGGGTTCTGTGGTGGGAAGTACTGTGGGGAGTTTTCGGCTTTGGAACATGATTGAAGATGACGGTGCATTCGACGTCGGATGGATCGCTGAACGAGATTGGCTGATCTAGGTGGCTGGACTCTAACTATTAGGCACTTGTTAGCCTTCGGAAATGATGCATGCTGCACGGCAGGCCCTGTCATTGTCCATTAGACTCGATGCCTTTGAAATGACTCCACACGGATTGTGGAAGGCACATAATTGATTGCTCAGAACAAATTGGGTTTTCAAGTTTCAATTCCTTCCTGGAGGTGAGGATCGCCAAATCTCAGTCGGACTCTGAATTCTTCAATCTCTGAACACACCGCCAAACAGCCAAGGA